GTTATACATTATTGGCTATGTATCACAAGTTTGGCGATGAAAACTAAGTTGTTTCGCTAAATTTTGTCTTGCTGCCATTGCATACTGAATGAAGCCTGAATTGTATTAGTTTAGTTGTTAATTATATTATTTCTTGCACATGCTTAAAATTAATCCAAATCCTGAATAAATAAAATCCGACATATACTTAAGGCTTTATCTAGGGCCGGCGCTAGATACCGCCTAGTGCAGTCTCTACGGGTCCTAAATTCTGCTACAAAGAACCTTCCTAAGTTCTAAATTTTCACTGTGCCTAAACGTTGGATCTCAGTGCTTTCCCTAAATCATAAAAAACTTCTCATCCCTTAATTTTGCTGCTCGGTGCTTCCCCAAATTCCAAAAAATTTCCCTAAATTCTGCCATCGGTGCCGACATATTTCCGTCTTGGGTTATACGAATAATATCAGTTATTCTATTAAAATAGCACTAATGAATATTTTGCATAGTTTTTAACAAAATCATTTTTAGCAATAAAAGAATTTTTGTTGATTTTCCCTCGGAACATTCTTAGAGCATTTAAAAATCTATAATCATCGCCAAGAGTAATGTTAGCATAAAAGATTGGCATATTCTTGTTATTCAATTCCTAATATAAAAAAAAGTTTAGACATCACTGCATGATTTATTACTGAAGCTGTTGTGTATTGATAAACATGCGGTGATGAAAGCAAAATAGTATAATAAATAATGACTCGCCAGGTCGGCATCAGGGATAAAAAATAGGTGAATGTTTGGGTTTGAGATGTATGCCAAGCAGATAGTCAGCTACGGAGCCAAATTATTAATCTCATAAATTTATGCCTACATAATTGTTTTTCCATAACGAGGTATTTTTTTTAGAGCCTAAGTGAAATTAAGAATCGGAATTTTTAAGTGGAAATCTCTACGTGTTTTATTATGGAAGGAAAAATGAAATGCGCATGTGTAAAGCGTTAAAAAAAATAATATGTTTTTTTTTTTTTTTTTTTTTTTTTTTTTTTTTTTTTTTTTTTTTTTTTTTTTCTTTTTTTTTTTTTTTTTTTTTTTTTTTTTTTTTTTTTTTTTTTTTTTTTTTTTTTTATTTTTTTTTTTTTTTTTTTGTGGCTTTGAGGTCTGGATTTTAGATCATTCCGGATAATGGACATCCGGATTTCGGACTTTGTACTGTAATAAGTTAAACTATCTGCAGTGATATGCTTTCTGTGAAATTTTGATATGAAATTGTGATTTATTTGTGTTTGTATAGTGCAGTGGTGGTTCTATTATTGTAATAAACAGTTTGTGTTCTACTAAAGTGGGATAATAGTACTTTTTAGGTGTTCCATATTAATGGTGTATTAAAAAAATAAAGATCACTGATTTTGAGTGATATGTAGCTTCAAGCATTAATCTTCTACAGGTGTAACCATGGAGGTGGGAAAGTAATGAGGAGCCAACCCTGCACTATGAATGTAGCACTGCTCCGAGGCTTCGGCCTCCAAATGGGGTGTTTTTTGTTTATATTCAGAAGTTCCCATGACAGCACTTTGAATAGTATTTTGACACATGACAGTTCCAAATTGAAAAATGGGACACTTTCGCATAAAACAAACATTCATTGTGTGATGGATAATAGCAATTTGTATAATTTAGTGACATTTATGCAAAAATCACATCTTGGTTATTTTTTGATAACATTTCCTTGATTTCTATACTAATTATTAAATGTATCTAAATTTATAATAACTTTAACATTAAATTGAAATCCTGTGACAACTATGTTATAACTATTTAGAGCAAAATTGTTTGTACAGAAGCAATCTGTTAAAAGTATGTAATGCAAATTCTATTAGATGCGTACATAAGGAAGTAATAAAGAAGAGTTTAGATATGTATTGTTTGAATTAAGGGTAAAAATCTAAGTATATTAAAAGAATTATACCCTTACATTTAATACTGTTACAAGTTTTACTAATATTTAAAAAAAATAAAATAAATAAGATTCAGAGAAAGTTAAGTACACGAAGAAGATGCCTTAGACTAAAACGATGTCAATTTGAAAGTGTTTTAGAGAACTCTATAAATAGAAAGAGTATGCATAGTTTAATATTAATAATAAATAAGCTTTGATCTAATTTTTGTATCCTAACCCTTTCCGCGCATTGTGTTCGGTGTGAAAACACCAAAAATATTCCCTCTTTAGACATTGAAAATAATCAATAAATATCACGAAAACTGCACTAATGGTTACTTTTAATCTCTTTTATGATAATAGATCAGCACCACACCACAAATCATTAACTTGAGATTATGCTGTTTTAAGACACTGATTTTCAAAAAATGTTCAGATTTTTTTCAAAAATATAATATCATGAAAAAATCTTTATATAATTTGTTTTCGTATGCTAATCTGCCATTCTGTATTACTTTTAATTTTATCTTTGAATATTGCATATAGTGAACCTCAGTGTTGTGTGTTTGGACTGAACACACTGTACTGTAGCCCTGTCTTGTGGAGTGATCACAGAGCTGTCTCTGCTTCAAAACGGGGAGGCTAGAGCCAGATTTATTTCTATTTGTTTTATTCTTTTCTATTTTGGTTTTGAGACCCAATGTTTGTTTCACTTAGCTTTTTGATTTTCAGCGAACAGACTTTTTTTCTCTTGCTTTCACGTGCTAGTTTGCTTGTTTTGATTCTGTAAATTTTTATTGTATATATATTTATAATTATTTTTTTTGTCATATTAATTTTAAATTATAGTATTTTAATTATTTTTTTAAAATTTAAATTTGTGTAAATGACTCGGAAGTCTCAGCATTGCGAGCAATGAGAGTTCCCTTCCCCATTTTTTTTTGGGAGGTAGAGAGCATGCCTCACCGTGGTGCCCTGGGTTATGCTAAATCTGCTACGAGATCAATGCTACGTTTTAATCATGACAAAGTCTTTACTGTAATACAGCTTCAACATCAACTCACCTATCGCAGCTCGTGTGGCTCAGTGTGTTCGCTTCGGACATACCTACAAAATGGAAACGGTTTGTGCAATCTTTGTAAAATTATCCCTGCATACCCTCCTAGTCCTAAATAGACTGCCTACAATTTTTTTTGGTAAAATTCCAACTTTAAAGAGTAGCGTGCCAGAAAGGGTTAACTGAATAAAATAGAATTACCTTAAAATTTTTTTCTAATGTAATTAACAAAAACTTGTTAAAATATTTCATTCAAATAAAACCATTCTGAGCAACCTGTTCTGTAAAAAGTATAGCATTTTATTCCATTCAGAATGAAATGTTGCTTAAAAATGTATTCTTTTCACATACTTAGGGCTCTGAAATACTGTAGAAAAAGAAAATATATACCTTTATATGCATATTTACGGTGTAATTAAAAAATATTTACATCCAATCGAGTGAAAACCCATTGATCAATGGTAAGTCACTGAAAATTTTGGTCACCACAAAGGGATTGCCAGTGCTCCAAAGCGGTGTATGGGAAACCGGTTAGGGCTCTCCTCTTACTTCCTACTTCCATGGGTGTAATAGATTTTTTTGATATAGCTTGTAGGATTTTTTTTAATTCCAATTCTTACTGTTTTGACTGTTTGCATAAATGTTTTGTGCCATAGTTTATCTCTAAAACATAAGTCCAGAACTTAATTACTGATCAATTCTAATAAAAGACAGAAATGTTTATATTGGTAACTCGTATATTATGTAATATTAATTTGTAAGTTAAATTTCGTATATTTTGATACACTTGGCACTGATGTATTAATGCAACCAATTTGATACAATACTGCATTTTTTTGGATGAAAAGATAAGTTATTTATCAGGTTCAAGTTGGTGATTTTTGTGACTTTTTTAATGAATGATTGCCAGATTATTGATATTTATATTGTAAGTTCGCAAACATATGTGTCGATAGGAAAAAAAAAAATTAGCAATTTAAAATACAAATTTTAATTAATAAACAAGGATTATATATTTAAAATATTACAATTTTTATGAAATCTTGAAATTTTTGTGCACTTTTATTCTCCTCATATACACAGTGATCTGTTTTTCCCTTTAAAAACCTTCAGAACACGAACCTCGATGTTGTATATCAGCTGTCTACAAAATGCTCCTCATCATTGTTTCTTTCAGCAGTTTTGTGGCAAAATACTGCATTCATGTAAGAAATTTACCACTGTTTCTTCGATTGCTGGCAGAGTCCACTAGCACAAATTTTAAAATTGACTTTAAATCAAAACACATCACAGTTTGGCTAGAAAAACCATTGGAACTTGATATACAACTAAAAGAATGCACATAGAAATGGTGGTGGTGTGTGACCAAAGGATTATTATGAGCATGGTTGCCAGTCAAAATGTGCCAACTTCTACTGATGTGGTTGTGATAATATATAAGTATCGAACGCTCTATATATGTGTACAATAATGAAACCACTTTTCAAATATTTACTGCTAAAATTTCCTATTCACATTTTCCTGTCTTTGTGTTCTCTGTCTCTTAGTATTCAAATAAATAAAGCTTCACATTAAATTGAGCAAAAAGTGTTCTACAAAAATTACAGCTATCTTTAAATTATTATATTTGGTTAAAAATTTATTTCTGTAAATAATTATTAAAAATTTTTAAAGTTTTTTTCAAATTTTTACTGTAATAGGAAAAAGGACATTAGGTAGTTAGATTTACTGAGACTGAAATTTTTATGAAATGCGGCATGTTCATAAAAATTTCAGTTTTTATGAATTTCAGTTATTATTCAAATTAAGAAAATGTACGTTGAATCTGAGATGTTATTTTATAATCATTACTGACTGAATTCTCACAACAACTCAAAAGAAGTTAGGAAGTGATTAAATAAATGAATTAAAGATAATTTTTTTGTTTGTTTGGAGGGAGGTTTTAGGAAAATGAATCTTCACATGTGGAATCTTTAATAAATCTAATTCTTTATAAATTATAAGTTTAAATTGTAAAATTTTACTGTACTTAATAATTAACAATTATTTTTTACAGGAGGACAGCTTTTCGCTTCAACAATTAAAAGTTGTTATGGAACGTCATCTGCTCACGTTTAACTTTTAATGCAGGCTCTTCATTTAAGGAAAGAAATGCATATGAATTAACTGAAGGGCCTGTTTCATTCAGCATTCCTAATGGCTAGTGGGAAAGATTCAAATATTGTTAGCTCTGATGATGAGATATTGTGTCCTGTTGACAAACATAAACGAAAACGGAAGGTCATCCTGAGTAGTGAATCTGAAGATGAAGATAGTGATCTTGAGGTTAAAACAAAGAGGACTGTCAAACCTCTGAAGTGTGAAAGTGAAGATGAAATACTTGATAATTATAGAAATGAATCGAAAGCTTTTGGTTCTGATACAAAATTTTGTAAGTATTGAAGTGTATTCTAATTGGATGCATAACTTAATACCATATTGATGTGAAAGTATTCTTTCTTAAACCTGAGAATTGATGAAATGGGTTTCTTCCAGTCCATCATTTATCAAAATTTTCTGAGTTCTATGCTAATTTTCTTAAAAATATTATCTCACCATGGTAAGGAACATAAAAAATATGATGCCCAAGTCTATGGACTTCAAGTCCAAAAAAAAAAAAAAAAAAAAAAAAAATGTCATTTTTTTTTTAATCTTTCAGTGTTGCAGAGCCACACAATAATAAAAGGATTTGATCATCAAAGTGAAGATTTATATAATATTTACTATTGAATCTAATATAGCATGCAGCATGTTCCTGTATATGTTTTTAAAAGATATCTGGTAAAAGGAGTAGAATCTGGCATTGATTGTACATATTGGTGTACAATATTAAATGACTGCTTTGCTGATTAAAAATTGTTTGGAAATAAATATCCTTGCTAATTCAAAATTGTCACAGTTGAAAACAGATACCTGCATTTCTATTCATGCTTAGAATATGCAAATAAGATTTGATTTTGTTTGGTCTATTTGATTATGGTAAAACACTCAAGACTATCTGCCTAAGGCGAGGTATATTTTTGTAAAGAACTTTCTAAAGAAAACTGGCTTGTATCCAAGCTACATATGGGCAAAATCGGGAAAATGCTCATGCAGCCAGCCAGTTTGCCTGGAATCGAATCCAAGTCAAACTACTGCTCAGCTTTTGGTGGGCTTTATGCAAATAAGGAAGATAAGGGGGGGGGAATAAAATACACGTTGTGTGTCTTTTAAGTGAGTAATGAGTACATGAGCATTTAGGTATTGTTAAGTACATCTGAGAGATATCGTTTAAATGTATTACATTGGTGGCCAGTAATTGTAAATTGGAAGTTGATCAGTTTACATTCTTAAGTGCATTTCTGTGGTAGACTTAAAGTCAAGCATCAGCAAAAAGTTATTCTTATCTGATCTGAGAGCTGTAAAAATTATAAGAATGTATTAGGTTACTGTTTACCAATATCTGTGTGCTGTCGTTGGTAAAGATTTAAGTAGCTAGTACATGAAGCAGCCTATGCACTGTATCCTCCTTCTCTTTTATTCTGCAGCAGGGATTCCTTAAGATGGTGTTTCCTATATTGCTATTGAAAATTCAAATGATTGGGCAGAAGTTCCCCCATTATTGATGAGTCAAGCTTACTTGAATATTGATTTTTCAATATATATTTATTTGGAAAGAGCATAAACTTTCTGTTGAACGACTCGCGTGAGCAGGTTGCATGATACAGGCTCCAGCACATAGTACAGTACAAAGTCTTTAATCCGGACCTCGAAGCTACAAACTTTCTGCGCATGCAAAATGTTTACGCATGTGCATAGTACCTTTACACATGCGCATAATACATTTATGCATGCACATTAATTGTATAACAGACGGTATAAGCTAGGCTAAAATTATCTATTATCTATTTCAGTTAATGTTGCAGATTGCGTTGTTCTTTAATCTTCTAATTGGATTTGGCTTATTATTTTTTTAAGACTGTTAGAGCAATTTTATAAAAATTAAGTTTGAACTTTCGATTATGTCAAAAAGAGTTTCTGATTCTGGAGCTGCCAAAGGATCTACAAAGCGAAAGCATGTTTCGATGTACTGCTTCGATAGTGAAGAAAGTGACAGAGAGGTTATTGAAAATGAAAAAATTTCGATTCACAAGTAGTCGGTATTCCCGACACGCAATACAGGACTTGAACAGTGGAACTGAACAAGAATTATGTATGTTTATAGAATTAAAGAGAAAGTATTAGCACAAAAAACGAGCACTTAAAACACAACTACATTGAAAGAAAGTTTAATAAAGTAAACAAATAAATATTAACTTTTTTTTTTTTTAAATTTTGATACCTTTTAGATCATCATAATTGCTCTTTATTTCATAAATTGTGGTTTTATATTTTTAATTATAATTTCTGCATGCCATCTTACCAGATTTAAATTGATGATTTATAATCGGGAAAAAACCCTAATCCGGAATCGCCGATTTGTACTGTATAATCATGTGTGTAATAGTAAGGTAAATTGATAGCGATTATGACTAGCATTTGAAAGGTGGTAATTCTAGAATAGCAGAATACTCTGGATGCTGAAAAAAACTCAGTCAAGTCAGAAAATTCCAATGTTGTATGCTGTGTTTCTTTGGTTAATAATTTCTCTAATGGCTGAATTTTAAAATCTTCTCATAGGTGGGACTTTTGTGCTGTTTGTGGTGAAATCATTAATTAAAATATCTAACTCATTCCTTGTGTGTATCATGGGTAAAGTATGCTGGGTGTTGCTCAGATCTTTGAAATATCCATTCCAGTTAGTAATAAGGGCTGTTTTGAGTGATGTGCTATAGTTACCGAGTTAATTCGACCCTGTTAACCCTCTCGCTGTGCATCCCGCGATTTCCACAGGCAATGTAGAAGTAGCAAAATTTGTGCAACGCGCAATTTCTGCGGGGATGAATTTTTGCCGTCTATTTGCCGTTTTTGCTCTTTCCCCATTCAAGGCTTCCTTTCAGCTTTTCTGTGATGTTTAATTGTTTATTTAGATGTGGGCTAACCGATAGCATTAATTGTCCTCATTTCTGCCAATTATACAAGAATACGTAATGTAGCATTTTGTGCGTTTTTTTCAGAGTTCAAAGATATCTGGCAGGAAGCGTTTTGCGAGTAATTCCTGACGATTTCCGACACTGATAGTGATCTTGTAGTTCACACTGATAGTAGTTCTGACTCTGATTTCAAGTACAGTCAAAAGTCGTTAATCCGGACTCGTGGGGACTTCGGCGATTCTGGATTATCGATTTTTCGATTTAGATCATCAATTTAAATCTCGTAATAGACATGCAAAATTCTAAAATTAAAATATGAACCGTAATTTATGAAATAAAGAACAATTATGATCTAAATGGGTATCAAAATTTACAGAAAAAAAAAAAGGCTTAAATTTATTTGTTTACTTTATTAAACATTTCTTTCAATGTAAGTTGTTTAAATTGCTTCATTTAGTGATAACTTTCTCTTTAATTCTATAAACAGACATATTCTTGTCAGTACAAAGTTTCGCTGTTCAAGTCCTATAATTGCTGTGCCGAGAATACCGACTACTTTCAATCGAAATTTTTTCGTTTTCACTAACCTCTCTGTCACCTTCTTCATGTCTTTACCCTTTTTTTGCAGCAATTCCACTTTTTGTTGATGGACATCGAAACATACTTTCGTTTGTAGATCCTTTGGAGCTTCAGCATCGAAATTCTATTTGACATAATCGAAAGTTCAGTTTACTTTTATAAAATTGCTCTTACAGTCTGCAAAAAATATAAGCTGGATCCAATTCAAGATTAAGGAACAACACAATCATCAACATCAACTGAAATAGATAATTAGATAATTTTAGCTTATACCGTCCGTTATACATTACACGCGCATGCGAAAACGTATTCTGTGCTTGCGTACACGCAAATGCGCAGTCATAAAGGTCTTACACACACGCGTAAACGTGGTGCATGCGCAGAAAGTTTTTAGCTTTGAGGTCCGGATTATGGGTATCTGAATTAACGACTTTTGACTGTATATTGAAGATAGGTATAGCGAAACTGATGAGAATTTCTCGGATTCCTCTCCAGATAGTGATGAATCTGGAAATTCTTTCTATTTGAAACGTCAACAGTGGTGCAAAATTGATGCAAAATTACATTATGCAAATATTTTATTATAATATTTTTTTTATTTTAAAAATAAATCATATTTAACCAATATTAATTTTCAAAATTTTTCTTTTATCATCATGCTTCAATTCAAGAAACCTTTTTTCATGATCTAATTTATATTGAAAAAAAAAAAAAAAAAAAAACTCTTTTACAAAAATTTTTTGTATATTTAAACTCTAAAATATATGTAGATTTGAAATATATAATTAAAGAAATACACATTTTTTGAACCTATTTTGATAAACCAAGTACGCAGTGAGAGGGTAATGCTCTCGATATAAGTTGGAACTGTAATATTTTTGAGCAGAAAAAAATCCAAAATGCATGGAATACCAGCACTAGTGTGTTGAGTAACTTGGGACTGCGATATCCAGGTTAGCTTTTCTGGCAAAGTCATGTATGAGGTTAACTGTCTGTTAAGAGTAGTGCAGTTCATTATCTGCAACAGGCATTAAAATCTCAACCTATGTTAATATGACTGTTTATGTTCAACAGAGACTGCATATCTTTATATACAACTCCAACTGAATTTCTGGATCAGATATAGGTGGAGATAATGGTGAATAGTGAATTGTATGGTGTAATAGCTATTACATCTACAGCTGAAAGCTGTGGTAATGTTATATTATAGTGAGGAATGGAGAGTAGGAGTAGGACTACTAAAAGTAGGAGACCTCCCTAGGCATTTTCGCCAACAGTAGGGCTTCCTGCCACTGAACCGTCCAGTCGAAGAGTAACATATTTTGGAGCATAAAAATAATTGTGTGGCCCAAGCATCTGTTCCCCTTGGATTTGTTTATTTTTATCAAAGATTTGGTTAATTTCAGGCATAAATTAAACATTTTTAGAAAATCAGAGATATCTTTTTGTTTATTGATTTTGCCTTTTAAAATTTGAAATATTTTTAACCTTTTAAAATTTGAAAAATATTTTTAAAGCACTTATTTATTTATCATTATGATATCCAATCATGTGTGTATCAGCATATCAGCTGAGTGTGATTGATATGATTGTGTTTATTCACATTATTTTTATTAGCATTACTTGCATTAATTAAATTATCACCTGTCTGTGCAGCAATAACTGGTTCAGGATTTCTGTTAATTTGGCTGTTTTTAGAAATTTGCTTTGATTTTTTAACATTTGGGCAAAGCTAATGCCAGGTTTAAAAGCTTTTCTAGGCTTGGTATTTCAGGACTTAGGGAAATGCTGGACTTTGGAAATGCCGTGAAATGAAGTGGAGTTTCCTGTATTATTACAATTGATACACTTTGGGTTTGAAATAACAGTTCGTGGAGCCATTTTTGGCAGTTGAGCCATTGAGGTTTTTTTTTTTTTTTTTTTTTTTAATGTATTTTCCCAACAAGACTGAAAAAAGCATCAAGTCTGCAATGCTATAAATTTTTTGAGCTATTTCATTTTGGATGGCATTGAATAAAAGCAGAAGCATAAGAGCCTTCGTTTTCCTACAGGTGAGCTGAGGTATTTTTTGTGTTGAGAAACTTCTGTCTGTGAGTTCATTTGCAATTTTATTTTTGTTGGTTGTAGCAGGTAGCCCACGAATGATAGCTTTGATTGGTTTATTATATTTAGAATTTAATGTATAGTTCTATGTGTTTTTCTTTAAATAGTGTGCTGAGTGTCCTATGATTTTCTGCACTATAAGGTAAGATTTTTAGATAATCATCATTTAACTTGCCTAGAAATGTGGCTTCTGTAGGTTGTGATAGTTGACTTAAGAAGCCCTCAAAAGTTAATGTACCAGGATTTACCATGGTAGGATGAATACCTGGATCTTTAGTATCCTGTTGTTGCTACACAGGTTGAGCTTCTGGGGTTACATTTTTATTTTATCCACTATTTTCAGTGTTATTTTTTAAGGCATCAAATTTATTTGAAGAGGCTGGGTCTGCTTAATCTTATTCACTTTGATATATTTAGCTGTTTTATTTGGCAATGTAAAACCTTCATTATCATTAGTCTTATTTGTGCATACATAAACATTTTGAGAAATATTTTTCTTTTGATAGTACTTCTGTTGGGTACTAAACCAGAGGTATTAAAGTTAACGTACCTCTTATTTCAGTAGCCTTCCTCCGTAGAAGTTGTTGAACTAAAATGTTTGCAACTCTAGTATCCGTGTCTGTTATGGCAAATCTTTCTGTAGTCCAAGGAATGTGTCCTACTTTTTTCAGTTTATCAAGGTAGTAGTTTTGTATATAGTTGGTCAAGCCTCCCTCAGATGAAGTGCTAGCCTCAACATTAATTGCATCAATTTACATGTTTGCAGGGTTGCCTAACGGTGGAAAATCATCTCCATTCACAGCCATAATGTCTTATGTCTCACATTCATGAGTGCTGGAATAGGAAATAGGTTCCGGAATTATTGTTCGAACATTGTATTTCAGACTTGCTTTTTGTAGTGAATATTTTTAACTTTTTAAAATTTGCAAAATATTTTTAAAGCACTTATTTATTTATCATTATGATATCCAATCATGTGTGTATCAGCATATCAGCCGAGTGCGATTGATATGATTTTAGCACATGAGAAAGCAATGGTAATAGCGTATTAACTTTAATCTGTTGTCTTGGTTAAAGTTGCTGAGTTTTCCAACATTAATCTTAAGCTATATGTTATGTATTAATTTTTTGCTTAATGTTAAATGATTGAAATAATTAGGAATAACCACGTCATTGTAATAATAACCTTCTTAAATATATATATACTCAAAGCTGCTTTATTTATTGTTGAACATTTAAAATGCAGTGGTTCGAAAAACCAACATTTATTACAGAGCAATATGCAGAGAGAGAAAATGTTTTCAGAGGTTTTATATATATAACTTAACAGCAGATCATGGTTTAACAAATCACAAACAAGACACAGAAAACAACCATTCAAAATAACATAAAGAAAATATAAACAAATAAAATAGGATTAAGTTTCAGAATGCATTGGACCTGACAGAAAGCTATAATTCTTTTTAACCATTAAGAATGCGATTACAAATATCTCAACATTTATATACATAATTTTTATAATTGCAAACAAAATTGAAATCTGTCCATAAATCTATAGCAGAAAGTTCTCCTTTCTGTGCAGTTTTTAACTTAGACAACATTTTCTTACTTTAATTTAAATTACATTACTTATTAATATAACCACAAAGTATGTAACCTGTATATCAAAACCTAGAGAATTAATTATCCTTAGGTTGAACAGCAATAATTGGTTTTAAGAAAGTTATATTTAACACAGCAGTTTTTTTTTATTATGAGAGTAGTAAAAAAAAAAAAAAAAAAAAAAAAATGGCAACTTGCATAAAGTAAATTTTATTGAAAAGAAGAGAGGACAGTCTTGAACAAATTAATATACATGAAGGAAAAAAAGAACAGTTTTAATAATAAATAACAATAATTACTACTATGTAAATTTAAATAAATGGTAGTAAGAAATAATTTTAATTTTATATTTATATAGTAATGGCAACACTCAGTTACTAGTTTATTTTGTAATATTTGAATAATAATAGGTTTAAAAGATAATTCTACTTCCCTCTATATTTAATTAATTTTACCTTATTTTAGTGTGTATTTTAGCACAATTTAATTGTGTTTAAAGTTTTCATTCAGTTCTATTTTATGTATATTTTTAAATTATTGTTTTGGCAGATTTTTTTGGACTATTTTTATTAATTATTCACCCCTAATTTTTCATATTTATATAGTCTCATTGGTTTAGAGAACAAGCTTTTAACCTCCTAAAATTATAGTTGTTGAAACTCTTGTAAACTGAAATAGGTACTAATCCATTAAAGCCATACCATGCATATTTGGTGCCGTATTAGCTTATTTCTCCATGCCTTTAGCTCGATTTTGGACAAAACAGAATAGTCAGGAATATTAATAAAGAACATTCTTTTATTTCATTATAGAATCCTTAAAGACCTCTTGTGTAGGAAGAATATGGCCTACATAATTTTTCTTCATTTTGTGAATTAATCTTCATGAATTTCCATAATTCTGTGGTGCTCATCCATTTTAATGTTAGGGGAAATACTAAGAAATATATGCATACCTGTGTTATGTAATTAATTCAGTCAGCCATTGTGTTTTGATTCATTTGAAGCAAGCTTTGATTTGCTAAATTCAATGGACATTAACTTTGATACCATAAGTAAATTAATCATATGCCAGTAATGGAAGAAATGTATAATTTAACAATTTACATTTGTGTTCAAACACTTTTTCTTGCTGCCATGAACAGCAATATATGGGGGGAGGGAGGCCCAAGTAATATGGCTATAGTGGAAAAATACTTGAAATGTGTATAATCAGAGTTAAAATTTCAGTATTAGTTAAAAGTCAGTAAGCTAATTCATGCAGCTTTGTCCAAGAATGTAGATTATACCCAAGCTTGGAAAGATAAGTATAGGGTGGGGAATCAATTGATACTAGACACAAAATTGATGACAATGTGCATACCAACTATCATACAGCTTTATAAACTTCTATGGGTTTGAAAATATCAACTAGGATAGTAAGACAAATATTATTTAACAATACAATAAAAACTTGTGGAACCAATTAAAAAGGACAGAATTAATTTGTTACGGCAAAAAGCAATATATTTAGGCTGAAAAACTTTTAGTATGAGATATTGCCAAATCAAAAAGTAAGTAAAGCATTCGTTGATATTTTAGTATACCTAAATGATTATTATTCAGTTCTGTTACCTTTTAAAATTTTATTTAAAATTTTTCTTTCTTTTTTATTTGTGTATATATTTCCTTGTAAAAATCAGAGAAATTATCTTATTATTTCATGGGTAAACTAATCTTCTGTATTAATAAAGAAATATTGTAATACGTTTGTAAGTTGCCAGAAGATGCCTTTAACTGTACAAGTGGCACATCCTTTTAGATCTGCTCATGAAGAACTGTTTTTAAATAGCATCTGTTAGCTAAATTTGTATAGTTATAATAGTCTCTGTTATCATAAACTTCTATTCATTAGGCTTATATTTGCATCATTAAAGAAAAGTAAGAAATTAAAAAAATAATTTAAATTACAAAGTTGATATATATTAATGAACAAAATATCTCATGCCAAGTAAAGGTGGATATGCTACTGAGGGGATTAAGGTAGAATATTGGTCAGGGACCTGATGAATATTAAAGGTCTAAGAAAGACAAAAACATTTGTATTTTTTTTAGCTGAAACAATTAAAAATATTGCATTGCTGAGAAAATAATCCTGATATGAATCCAATCGAAATTTTTTTTTTTTATTAAAAAATGAAAATTTATGTAAAAGAGGATAACTCAGTGATGTCACTTTAAGCTTCATTGAAGTTATGTTTCTGTGATATGGATATATATAAATGAGCAAAGTATTAATTGGATGAATATTTAAATGTGTATCAAAATGCTCAGAAAAGCCAATCGTTTTCATATTTAATTATTCTCAATATATTAAAATTTTTGTATTTTCAATAGGCTAAATCTACTATATTTGAAAATACTACTTTTAAGTATGATAATTTATGCACATCTCTAACCTTATTATAATTAATGAGGTACTATAACTAGACCATCAATACAAATATTTTGCTGTCTTGGCGCTGAAAAGCTAAAAATTATGCTTGCTTTAAAAAAGTCCCCCCCTTTTTTTTCAGGAATACAATGTAGTTTTTTTTTTAAATCTTTGAAAACCTGTATTTTAATTTATTTTCATTGAATTTATTATTTTCTTCTTTGAAAAAATATAGTAGCCCCCAACACTGAAGACGATGGGTTAGCAATGAATGATTTCAGTGATAGTGAACAAGCAGAAAAGTGTGCCATTTGCCTGAATAAGTTCCATGGCCAAGATATTGCTACCCCAGAGACATGTGATCATATGTTTTGTCTAGATTGCTTACAGGAATGGGCAAAGGCAAGTATTAGTTACAATAATTTTTACTTGTATTACTTGCTTATAAGTATCAACACTCAAAATTTCATAAACTAAAGCATATTTTTAATGCTTTATGTGCTATTTAAGTTGTAGAAAATATATAGAAATTAAAGCTTTTATTAAATAATTAAAAGAAATAACTGTAATCTATAAAAAGTTGCTTTTATGTTGCTTTCTCTTTCTGTTTAAATTAAAATTTATAGAATATTTCTTTCTTATGATCTTGGTGTAAATATTTTTGTTATAAGAACATTAGATGTACATATCATTGTTGAGTTAAAAATTAGTAAACCAAATCTTATTTCCATAATACAATTTTATTATGGCTTAACTTTTTCTAATTTAGTTTAGAACGCATACCATTATCAATGTACTTCAATACATATAATGGTGTGAAAATGTATAATAACAATTAATGCTGATTTAATAATTTTTAAATAAGTACCTGATTACTATTTTTAATTTTTTAATAATATGTTAATAACACTTCTTTAAGTTTATTTTTTGCTTTATTTTATATACAGAGTACATTTACAAAGTTTCAGGACTCACCCTCCCCCAAATTCGAGCAACTCTGCCAGATGATAATTGACAGCTTTTATTACTATGACATCTCATCATGTTTTCCTGAAATAATGCTTGTTTATGGAGCAAATTTTCAGTACTTTCTGATTATCTGACTGTGTCCGAAAAACCACGAACATATTGGTGGCTTTTCAGAGAAATAATGTTCCTTCCACAGTAGGGTGGGTGATGTTCAAAATTTTTCCCTAGCTAATGTGCCAAAGACGAGCCATTTTCAAAATGGTTGTATACAGTACAAAGTCCGAAATCCAGGCTCGTCGGGACTTCGGCGATTCAGGATTTCAGATTTTTCTGAATATTAGATCATCAGTTTAAATCTAGTAAGATGTGATGCAGAAATGATAAAAAAAATATGAAATCACGATTTATGAAAAAATGAAATACAGATGAAATAATAAGTCTTTAATCCAGACGTCCATAATCCAGAATGATCTCTCATCCGAAAGCATGTTTCAATGTCCATCAAACAAAAAGTAGAATTGCTGCAAAAAATGGATAAAGGCATGAAGAAAGTGACAGAGAGGTTAGTGAAAACGAAAAAATTTCAATTGACAAGTTACTCAGTATTCTTGGCACAGCAATGACAGGACTTGAACAGCGGAACTTTGTAACTGAACAAGAAGTTATGTCTGTTTATAGAATTAAAGAGAAAGTATTAGCACATAAAACGAAGCAACTTAAACAATTTACATTGAAAGAAATGTTTAATAAAGTAAACAAATAAATATTAAGTTTTTTTTGTAAGTTTTGATACAAATAAATATTAAGTTTTTTTTGTAAGTTTTGATACCCTTTAGATCATAATTGCTCTTTATTTCATAAATTATGTTTTCATATTAATTGTATAATTTCTGCATGCCATCTTACCAGATTTAAATTGATGATCTATAATCTGGAAAAAAAATCGCCGAAGTTCCGATGAGTCAAGATTAAAGACTTTGTACTGTATTTATGATCTAAAGGGTATCAACATTTACAAAAACAAAAACAAACAAACAAAAAAAAAAAAAAAAAAAAAAAAAAAGCTTAATATTTATTTGTTTACCTTATTAAACATTTTTTTCAATGTAAGTTATTTAAGTTGCTTCATTTTTTGTGCTAATACTTTCTCTTTAATTCTGTAGACAGACATAATCTCTTGTTTAGTTGTATTGTTGAAGTCCTGTAACTGCTGTTTCGAGAATTCCAACTAACTTGTCAATCGAAATTTTCTTGTTTTCAGTAACTTCTCTGTGACTTTCTTCACTGTCGGTAACGGTATTTTTTGGATTTAGAACTGTACTACAGATTTCGATATTCATTAATTGATTGATGATTGAGAAGCATTGTGATCACAATGAAAATCTTTTATATCATTTTCATTTATTACCACTTCTCCACATTCTTTAAAAAATATGTTAATTGGAAAATTTAATCTTTGGTTTGCGATTCCAAAATCCTTTAAAATTAGAGGTTATTGTAATCAAATTTAGCTATCTTTCACTATACCTATTTGGCTATGCATAATGGGCTTGGCGACTAACGACAAGTTGTTCCATTAAATTTTATATTGCTTCTATAACACACTGAGACAATTAAGCCTGAATTGTATTAGTTATTTATTAAAGTTACGTCTATTTCTTGCACATGCTTAAGGCTTATCAGAGTTCTGAATAAATAAATTCCCACATATACTTAAACATTATTGAGGGCTGGTGCTAGATATCTTACCGCATGATGGAGTCTTTGTGGGTCCTAAATTCTGCGACTCCATGCGGCCATACAAACCATAGCAGTGGTTCTGGGCTTATGTGAATAACAAAGTTATTCTTAATTCATTCTTATTAATTCTTAATTAATTATTCAGTTATTCTTAATTCAAATAGCTCTAAATGTAGTCTTTGGGTCTATGAGTATCATTAACAAAATCTATTATTAGCATATGGAAAGAAATTTTTAAAAAATTTTTCCTCGTCAACTTTTTTCAACGCATTTAGCTTAAATCTGTAATCATCGCCAAGGGTATTGCCAACATAAAAGGTTACCATACTCCTTTAATATTCAATTACTAACATAAAAAAAAAAAAAAAAAAAAAATGTTTAAGCATCAATACATGAGTCATTGCTCAAGATGTCATATTTTGATACACATGCAGTGATAAAATCATTATAAATAATGATTTGCCATGCTGGCATCAGATCAACGATGTATCTATGTGGAATGTTTTGGTTTGAGATGTGTGCCAAACAGAGTGTAAAGCCTGTTAGAAAAATGTTGGTGGTTTTGAGGTCTGGATTTTAAATCATTTTAGATAATGAACATCCGGATTTCGGACTTAGTACTGTATTAAGAATTCCATAATAGAGCAATCAATCAATGAAATTAAAAAAGCAAGAAACACTGGTAATATGAAATATTTTTCAAGATATCCTTCTTTCAACGATGTTGTTCTCCCCATAAGCATAGTGATCTGTTTTCGCTAAAAAAGATATCAGAGAATTTAATTACCAGATAATTAACTAAGTCAAGATTACAGACCAGCAGAAATACACATGTGCCATTTGGATTGCCACATTAATTATTTTGTTGACACACTATATGAATATTTTTTCGTGACTTTCATTTGGGGGCTAAAATGATCAGAAAGTGCTGCATTTTCTATGCAGTTAATTGTTTGCTTTGATTTAGAGAAAATATGCTGTCATGGATTTGGAAGTTTAATTATTCCATGTCATGATTTGATCCAGATGACTGACATTATTTTTTTTCCCAAACGAAATATTATTCTGATATGAAATGGCTGTCATCTGTGTGGGTTGAAGAAGATGAGAAACATAGAAATTTTAGTGTCAGTGCAGCTGGTGAGGTGGAGATCGAATTGCCAAATACTAGCAGTGACAAATTATTGTCCCCACGCTTTAGTTTGTGTAATAAAATTGATAATTAATTAATTATTTATATAAAGGTGTATCATTTAGGTGGGAAGAAATCATAGAAAATAAATGCAAGGGAAAAGTACTAAAAAATTTATTAATATACTTTAAAAATTAAAAATATTTTTAAGCAGTTAAGTGTAGTATAAAAAGAGTAAATCTCAGGAATGCAAGAAAGCATAATAAGTAAATACAAAAAACAAAATTCATGAACCACAGCAAAGCAAAACTAATGAACTACAACAAAATCTGCGCCTATTTCTTCACCTGTGTTGGCCATTTAAACTTGTTAATGGAAGTTATGCTCAAATGGCAGTTAGGTCATATTGATGACTTTGTGTTCTTGTAAAGCGTAACTTACATATTGATGTAAATGTACCTTTTACACTTGACATGAACACTACAAGCTATCTGCTGCTTCCCTTCTCCTACTATTATAATTATGTTGTATGCTATTACAGAGAAAAATGTGAGAGAGATAGATGTGGAAAACCATTATTTTGAAAAGGGTCGAATGCAAAAAAGGTTGTTTTGTACAGTTTTATTCCTAAAACACTGTAGACACACCATGTACAATAAATCGTGAACAGAAAAAGCAAAAAGTGTTTAATACTGTAATGATGCATTTATTTTTTATTTGTGTAGCATTAAAAATAATTAGTACTCACTACTATTTAATTTTTATGAATTTCCAAAATTTTAGTGTTTTTGGATAAGTGTATTTTTGAAGGCATTGAATGCATTTGCTTCTGAATTATTATTTGTTTTTATGCCACCAACAATTTGTGAGAAATTTTTCGTCAATTACATTGTATGTATATGTCAAGGTAAAAATGCAAGTAAAAATTAAGTAAGTAAAAATTTAAAAAAAAAAGAAAAGAGTAATTAATGCTAATTTTATCTGTTTTGGTGTATTTTATGTATATGTGTATGTATGCATATGTAAGATAAAAAATAATGTCTAAACTATAATTTAAATTAGCGGTAACCCCTTTATTCCCCCTTTCTATTCTAAAAATTGTAACAACAGACTTTTCTTCAGACTCGAGATTTCGAGAACTGAAACCTCTCTAATCTAAACCAAAACCTTCTTGTGGTGAGCCTCCATATTTGCACAAATGCGACTTTTAGCTTCAGCTCTCTTGTGGTTAACATGCCACTTCGCTCTGTTTGCTTTGCCATGCTGCTAAATATGCCATTACTTAAAATGTGATACAAAGTATAAAATTGTGGGGTGCACATTGCACCCATGATCATTGTAATGGAAACAAAAAAAAAAGACATAGCAAATGTTGATGGCATAGAATGTAGATCCATACTGAAGACGAAGAATTCTGATTGCATCATAATAAATGAGAAAGTTTGCAGTGGAGGCGGATTAAATTTGATTTTTATTTAAATCGAAATTTGTGGCTACAATTCACTTAGCACTTTAATCCTGCCTCTTTCCAAAGCATTTAAATTTTTGATACTGTTACAATAGGAAGAGAGCACAGTGAAATTGTGTCCTAGGAGCACACAGAGAGAAAGAAGTATGCAATTACCCAACGGGGAAGCTCACCAAGAGGAAGGTTTTGCTTTAAGGTAGAAAGGTTTTAGTTTTCAAGGTTTTGAGTTTAGATTCCAAATTACCCATATCGCAGCATTGCACAGACCATGCAAGCTGGATTCATCTAGCATTGATGCAATCCAGAGAAGTTATTATGCTTTTTAGAATAGAGAGGAGAATTAAGGGGTTACTTGTTAGTTTAAATTATAATTTTGATATACCGTAATTTCCGGAAGAAAGGCCGCATTAGCGTAAACGCCGCACTCGAGAAAAATGGCTGGAAAAAAATTAAAATTACACAGAAACGCCGCAATAGATTAAATTGCGCGTGACATCGTCGTGGGCCGTATAGATGCAAAAACTCAACCTAAGTCCTGATATATGACATACCAGTTAAGAAAAATGCATGAAATGAAACCATAACTCAAAAATAAAGGTAAGAAATGTATAGCTGTGCTGTTTAGAGATATTTTCAAAAATTTTACGCTCCCTAATTAAAAACTATCCAACAAGTACTTGTACCCTAACTGATGGGATCTGTATTTGGCAGAATGCCGAGAAAAATCCATTCATGCTGAAGGGGAAATACGTCAGAGTTCGTTATTGCGAGGCAGGTGGAGTCATGTCCGCCTTTGAAAAAAATTGCAGAAAAGGCAGGGGTGGGGAGAGGATGGGTCCTGGAAGATTCATCGAATGGCAGAGGAGAGAGACTATTCAAACTGATAAGAATGTTGATTTGAAAGGAGGAAGAATGTTATTGTTCTGAGATCTCGTTTAGGGTGAATAATGCATGTAGATCCGTTCAAGGGAAAGAACGTAAACAAAATAACGTTCGCAAAGAGCAACTGAGTGGTCTTTTGTGTGGGAACAGCACCAATCTATGCACAATGACAAGGCCATCCAAACTATGTACAATGACAAAGTTATTTAAACATGTACATACCATCATAGGAAATGTTTTATTTTTAGTGCACCTAAACGCCGCATGGGTAGAAACTCCGCACCCGCTGAAAATTTAAGTTTTTAAACACATAAACGCCGCAGCGTTTCTTCCGGAAATTACGGTACGTATTTTTTATCTTACATGTTCATCAGTATTGACACAAGCCATGCAAGATTGATTGATCTAGAAATAACACAATCTAGAGAATTTATTATTATTTTTATAATAGAAGCAGAGAATTAAAGGGTTACCATTAATTTTGATTTACTTATCTTTCAAGTGAATTCTGGCCACAAATGTCAATTTAAATAGTAATGGAATTTACTCCGCCTCGACTACCAAGTTTCTTAGTTATTACAGTGCATTCAGAATTCATCCTCTTCAATGTGGATTTCTATGGTTTTGTGCCATCAACCATATGCTACGTCTTTTCCTTTGTTTCCATTATACATTTCCAATGAAAGAAAAGTAGTATTTTTGATATTTCTTTGTAGGATAATTCGTCCTAGTTTATTATTGGTAATAAACTCTTTTGCTTTGGGAAATAAATGTGACTCTCCACATTTATCCAGAATTTCTCAAAATATATTGAGAAGGAATTGCATATATTGAAAATAATACAACTTTTATAACTTTTATTTTATTTACAGAATGTTAACACGTGTCCTATTGATAGATTGAAATTTAACTTGATTTTAATACGACATCACAAAGAAGAAAAGATCATACGAAGAGTAAGTTATTTCAGATTTTTGTATATAGGATTTGTCTTGAAATTTTTTCCCGATAAATCAACATATAAAGTAAAATATAAAAATTTTTTGTAGAATAGCAAAATTATTATGTGGAATAATAAAATAAAATCTTGAGTGAATGAAACTAATGACCTAAATAAATTAGAGTAAATTTAAGTAAATGTATTAATTATGGCAGATTTTTCATGCATTTAAAAAATTAAACTAATATTACTGCAAGTAAGTATTTTATTATTTTAAACTAAAACAATAGATTGCTATTTTATCATTCTGGATATATTTTACATTATATTTTGCAAAATATTTTGTATGTTGCTTTTCATAAGTATATGCATAGCAAAATTGCAGCCACATGCAGTTTGTACGATTTTGGAAAATTTTTCTAATATAAGTAGAAATTATTTGCAATGTGTATATTGACTTAACTTTTTTAGTGCTTATTTTGCATATATTAATTTCATTTGCATATTCCAGATATACATCAACAATCCTGAACTGCCCTGGTTTACAGAGTTTGAATCTGAATCCCCACAAACGCTGATTACTTATTGTGAAATATGCGGCGAGTATGACAGCGAAGAAACACTTTTGCTTTGCCATGAATGTCAAAAGTGTTATCATACAGAATGTATATTTCCGCCTTTGCATTCATCATCAATGGATTGCTGGCTATGTCCCACGTGTGCAAATTATGTTCGTGTTAGAGGTGTGCATTTTAAAAAATTGCTAATTATAGATGTTTATTTTCTAATAGCATAACTGATGTAAATTAGACTTAATTTAACTTTCAAATCTGTCACTGGTACTTATGGATTATTGGTACTTATGGATCTTTTGGGCAGTTACTTCACTAAAAGAGTGTAAATCTCATGAGAAATTATTGGGGGGGGGCATAATTTTGCAATTACTGAAAAAAGAATTTGCAACAATTTTCTTGGCCCTTAAATCTTTGTCACAAAAATTCAGTGGGATCGCACTGTTCCCTTTTGTTTCTTGTGCCATTTAGCCAATTTGGACAATCTGCCTTATATAGTTTAGTGTGTCTGTTTGGGACTTGCTGTTTTCTTCTCACATGCCCGATCTCTTGAATACCCACTCTTTAAGATGTTTTCCATGATGTTACTCATGTGTATTAAGAGACTGTCATTTATTTAAACAATTTTATTGAGTCTTCTATTTCAGCCTTTAGCACATTTAATCAGACATTTTGAGCAAACCTGCTTTGTAAAGATATTTTGGTCAGTAGTTATATTATTACAAATATTTAATTGTTTCTCTCATCACTTTATTAATATAATTTCTTCTGACAGACAACAGGTAATTTATTACAGTCTGAAAATTTATTTTTTATGCATGAAAGCAGTTTCCAATGCTGTTCTTTTTAGGCACTGATTAACTGTACACTGTTGTTTAAGTTCATCATAAAGTTTCATTTTATGATTGTTCTGACAAAGCCTAACATGGATAGACTTTCATTTTCTTGGAAGACTTGAACAGCATCTTTCCCAATCAGTAGCAAATGAAAACAGTTAACATGTTTATAGATGAAATATAAATTTAAAAAAATGAAATATGACTATAATGAAGAACTGAGTAAAAGAAGCTCAACACGTGAAAGATGAGACATGAACAGGGAGCGAGAATGAAGATTGCCATATAAGAGGCCAGCCATTGCATTTACAAATTAAATGTGAATTTAAAAAGTGGATGGAATATCATAAAAGATAAGATGCATATGAATAAAACATACCAAAAAAATTAAAGTTACCATATTAGAGGCCTGGAATATCAGAACAAAAAGATCTGCCATATTGGAGGAATTGCTGTTCTAGTTGATTTATTGCATTTGCCCCAAAGTTCCTTAACTATCATATTATAATTAATCCCTTCCATATTGAGAATGTATATGCATACATTTTGATAAACCCAGATATTAATACAGTATTTGTGTAGGTTTTCAATGACTTTATGTAGAAATTAATTTATTTTTTGCTTGATCATTGAGACTGTAATTTTATTGATATTTCAGTACTGCAGGGTCATACTTTTTGTTTTGACTCATTCTATGAAAGCATGTTCATACTGATATTATACTGACATCGTAAAGAAAAATATTAAAAAAGCAAACATTTCGTACCAATTCTGTGAGCAGAAAAGAAGAAAAAGTATCAAAAGCGATGTAAATAAAATACATTTAAATGAGATAATGTGTATCAACTACCCAAAAATAAATGCAGTATTAAGCATTTGTATGAAAAGTGCAAATGCTGTATTTAGTCAAAAATAAGACCTGTTTTGTTTTTTGCTATGTATATATGTATATGAGATATAAAAAAATGCGATAACTGCTTTAAAAGTAATTGGCGACCTAAAAATTAACGAGTCTAGATTTGGTGATCTCCTAAATTCCTTACCAAATTTGAGAATTTTGTATGTTATATAATAACCTCAAATTATCCAATCACAGATTAGCTCTACTTATACCTCAGACATGGTATAAATACTTTTGGCACAAAAAACTACATCATTCCTTTACTAGCTTCACCACTGCTAATGTATCCGCATCACTTCGCTTCTTAACTGACTATGTCATTTCCTTTTAAAAAGCCAATGCACATAGAAATTTATGATATTTAATTATGATTGAATAAGTGTCTGCCAAATTAATTGGATATGTGTAACAATAAAGATTGGTGATTTATCGAAATCCAAGTCATTATCTTCATCAGTGTGCTTTCGCATTCCAAATCATAGAATATAGAGTCAAAAATTTACTATAGTTTTATGAATAAAATTGCTGAATAAGAGAAAAGTGTTTAATTACTTGCTGCAGAAAATAATTAAGCTTTAAATACTGACTAAACCATATACGTAATTGCCACATCTGTGTAAACTGCATAATTATTATTAATTATAATAGTTACATGTAATAGAGCAATTTAAATTTACGCCTGGATCCACTATACTGATGTGCCTGAAAATGAATGTATAATAATGTATAATTAATTTTTCTTTCTATAGTTTAGTAAAATATTGTATTTCATTAGGTGACCTGCCTTTCATTGTAATCAGAAACAATGAAATTCGAATGAAAACCATTCTCTCATTAAATATTCACTTACATTTTTGTTTCTTAAACTTTAGGCTTTGATATAAGGAAGGTCTTATTTTTGAATAAATATGATAAATAGCTGTTTTGTAAAAATATTAAAAAGGGTGAAATAATTTAAATTATTAAAAAGATTGAAATAAATAACATAATATTCAACATACGCATGTATAAAAAATGCACTGATAAATTTTTTTGATGAAATTTACTTTCTTATAGTCTAGTACAACATGGCCAAAATATGCATATTGTAAAAAAAGGTTAATTATAAATTTATTAATTCCATTTGAAACTTTGAAATGTCACAACCATATTTAAAAGCTAATTTATATTCGTCATGCGGGTTCATGCTTATTTCATCATGCGGGGTTACATGTAACAGGCTATTTTTGAATGAGTTTCTAACCAGGTCTTCGTGAAATTTAAGAAATGTAAATATAAAAAAAATGTAAATTTGTTTTTCTGTGGAAATAATGATTACCTGCAGTTTTTAGTGTAGATAGGATAAGGAAATAATTGATAATTTTACCTTTAACCACACCCATTATCAGTGTATTTTTTAAGTGTATATTTTGACAATGATTTCATATTAAATTTTTATTTTCCTTTTTGCTCTTACAGATAAATTTTTACATGATGTTCATCGTATGCTACAAGGTATAAAACGGTTTCGAGATCTTCGTTCTTTTAGTAGTGGAAGAAGTTCACATACTTCTTCAAGTCCAGCTTTACGAGCTTCTGCACAACATTCGTCAAATAGAGAGCTAGTGAGACTTCGTCAAGTAAAAATATTTACATACATTTCCTTTTGTTAATTGCAAAAGTTTATATTATTTTAAATGAATTTTTATATATGTATATTTTGTGCATTTCTAAAATTTTGATATGCTTGTAATATGTACTTTTGTGCATGTAATTTGCTCTTTTTATTTTTCAGAGGCTATTGCACCAAAAGTCTTATTTCAGAAGAGTTTTATCATCATCCGAGTCATCTGATGAAGAAACTGAACGTACTACTCGTAGTGCTTCTAGATTATACCATGTAAGAAAATATTTCAATAAAATGTAATTTAAAATTTAAACTTTAGGAATTAAGGTATAATTATATTTCAGTACATATATTTGAAAGCTGATATAATATAATAAAATGAAAATGAATCTTGCATGGAGACTAAGTCTGTACAGTTTTCCAAAAGTAACGTAAGATTTAAATTTACAAAATGGACTTTTATTTTTGCATGAATTTGCAATACTGGAACATACTTTGAATGAGGAAATACTCTGACTAAATATCGAAAATAATATCTGGCATCTGACAAATGTCCTCCACTTCTCATATGGCAGTCGTGCAATCTTTTGACAGAATTTACAATCATATGTTTACAAGCTTGTACCCTAATTGGTGCAATAATATGTTGGATTTCATCTATTGTTCAGGAATGGTTGGTGTGCAATTATGTAAAACTTGGACTTTAACAAACCCTCAGAGATAAAAGCAACACAGTGTAATATCGCATGACCTTGGTAGCCAATTCCGATTACTGTTGTGTGAAATCAGACACCCATAAAATTTCTGCTGTAACAACTGAATAGTTTTACACACTACATGATACGTGGCAGTATTCTGCTGGAAGAACATCTCATCAGCATCAAAGTCCATGGATTCGAGTTGAACCATAAAATTGCTGTCACCATCTTGTGAAAGTGTACATCCGGTGCTCCTCTTTTATGTGTTTTTCTATTATGACTAGTTCACTGCCAACTGGAATGTGATTACTTCAGCGTGTGCTAAACCCAACTGGAAACAAATTCGTGGTCAGTTTCAACTATGTTAATTCTGAGACGTCTTAGATATGGGAACTTTCATGTAATTTATTCACATTTTATTAATATAATTGAATATTTGAGAGAAATGAGTAATTGAGATGATAATATTTTGAAAATTAATAAATAACAAAAAATTTTTTAGAAATGTCTTACAGAAATAGTTTGTATGTTACTTTTGACATAGTCATGTTGCTTTCCAACATGCATGATCCACTTGTCACAAACTGATGGATGATGACTTTGTAACGTGGTCTGCCCTTTAAGCAACTTAGTGTCAAAACTTTCTTTATGTAGTGTGTGACTAGTTTCCAATTTAGTGTCATATGCAAATTCTTTACTCTGCGGATTAGTGGATTCTTGAACTGTCAAAATTAGTGGAAATGAGCATTTATGTTTATCTTGTTCATAGCAAATCTGTCTATAGAAGTTGATTTTTGTGGGAAGACTACCTTTGCAGACTGCATAGCTGCTTACATAGCACCATTACATAGCTGCTTGTATTGAAATTTAATTTACATTGAGATTTACTTGGAAGCAATAAATGTTACTTTGCTGAGTAACTGAAAATGAAGATAAAAAATCTGATGTGTACACCACATGACTTCCTTGTATGGAATATTAAATTATACGCATTTGTTTCTTGCATTTCCTTTAAACTTATTGGATTTAATTAAATCTACTTTGCCGACAGCGCATAAACCACAATAGAATAAAGGCATTCTTTAAAATTCACTCTATTTGTTTAACATAGTGATACTCTGGCACTAGGTTCGCTTAACAGTATTATATTTCGTTCATATTATAACTCAGAATGCACAAAATGTATATCATTTAAAGAATTATCTAATCATTGCCACATGTTCTTTTCAAATACTATAATAAAGCTAGAAACGATGTAAAAAAAGAATTAAGTAAACAAAAAAAAAAAGAAACAGTTTTTCGCAGACGATTCAGTTATTTCTCATTCAATTAATTCAGTTCTCACTTTCGCGACAAGGCAAAAATACATAAATAGCTCAAAATATCTAAAAATTACTAAATTTAAAAATTTAAGTAAATCTTAAACACTTATTTCCTCGAAAAAATTTCCAGAAAGGATTAAGGCATGATTTTAATTCGCAATAATAAATGAAAGCGTTATCTTCGTTGTGACGAAGCTTAGTCTTTTTAGATTTGGCAACAAATCTACAATTCTGCTGTTTTCAAATGTAAACAAATATGTCCGCCATGTTATTTAAAAATTAAGCTTAACAGCACCTTAAACAGCTTTTAAATTGTTTATAATTGTACAAATATTGCTTCCAGAATTACGAAAGGCATAAAAACCTTAACCGGAAGATAAGAACAACATAATTGAATCATTTTTAAAGCAAAAAATGTACAATTTACAAACATATAAAAGTAAAGAAACTGAGATCACTGTGCTGAGTAGCAGAGTGGATATATATATAAATATAGTATTTATATACGTTTGGTGCAGCCGATTGCAACCAAAGTACGAGGTGCACATCTACATGTTATAGCAGTCCTATATACAAAATTTTACCATTCTGAGGCTACTCATTTTTGAGTTATGCGAGATATGTACGTACGCACACACGTTTTTGTACGTTCGTACAGACAGCACGAAAAATTCTCTTCAGAATTAGTTTTAAAGCAGCTTTATAATTTTTTTGGAGGAAACGTGTCTTTTATTCAGTCCTTATGTACAGATATCATGCAAAAACATCGTTAAATTGCATTCGATAGTGGTCAAAATTGGATATGGTTCGTTGAAATAATATTTCTTGCCTGAAAAACTTTCGCGATTACAATACTTTCCTTTTTACTTCGTACAAGGAAGTAAAAGGGGGGGAGACATGATATTTCATAACAGGAAGTTTTTCGATACTTTATTATTATTTTAAAAATTTAATCTATTTAAAGTAATAATATAACAATTAAATATTGTTGGTCTTTTTGTTTCTCTCAGTTATCTTATCTGTAGTTAGTATAAATAAAAATGGGTTTTTGCGTTTTTTCTCAATAGAATCAGGTGATTTCAAATGGTATACCTAAAGCAAGGTGTCCTCTGATGGGCAAGCGCCGGAGTGAAATATATCGCACTCGCAATGCAGCTTTGGTATCGTCAGCGGCATCTGCAGCATCAGATTCAAGAGCCATGTATTCATATGATTCTGATGATGGTGTAAATGAATACAGGTAAGATATGCAATAAAGTATTAAAAGAAACCAGCGCTAAGAATATAGCTCTTATGATCATAAAAAATAATCCCTTTGCATTGTTTAGGTTCATAGTTAGCATGAACATGGGTAAAATATGCAGTATTTACTCCTAATGTATTCTGAGGTTCATCATATTGTATAGGGTAAGCAAAAAAGAATCAGCCTGTTACAAATGATTTACTGGCAGACAAATTAATTGGCACATATTTACCTGTCCTACATCAGATTTAAGCTTAAATTATCCAAATTTCTTTTCACTGTGCTCTATGTGAAATCCTTTTGTCAGGAACCATATATCCATTCTACTGTGCATGTCAGTCCAAACATGTTGAAATATATCTAATAGTATAGAAGAGGGGGGATGGGAGTGGCAGCATGAAAACAATATCTTTAGCATATGCTTTTTTCCTCACAAAAAGCAATTGTAGTGAATAAGATCTGATGAATTTGGAGGCCAGGTGAAAGGCACATTGTTATTTGCTTGTTGCTGCCTGTCCCATGTTTTAGCAAGTGTTTATTTGACTATTTATAGACATTTGAATGCAAGTGTGATGGAACCACATCCTGCTTAAAGTGTGTAGTTGTAGAGACATTAAGTTGTTTTGAAACTGGAAGACGTGAAAAATGAGCAATGTCCTCAATGGGACTCGAACCTCGAATCTCTCGAAAATGTGCTGTGCTGGCCATTACACCATGAAGGCATGCTAAAAAGGTGGGAGAAATACCTTTTTATACTCCTCCTTTTAAAGGGTGACTGGGGATTAAGAAATCCAATTGTCAAATCCTGGTGGTGGTGGAGAATCATTATCCATCATTGTTTTAAGTTCGTGTACCACTGTAAAGACATTAGGTTGTTTTGAAGCAGGAGCCATGAAAAATGAGCAATGCCCTATCAGGACTCGAATTGCGAACCTCTCGAATACGCACCAAATGTGCTGACCGGTACACCATGAAAGTATGCTAAGAAGATGAGAGAAATACCTTATAAAGTCTTTAGAATCCTTATCTAATTAGAGAAGCAGCCAAATCCTATGCATTGTAAAGCACAAAATACTTTTCACTCAGAATTGCCATTTTGAAAACCAAAATAATTGTGAGTTACACATTTATTAAATGTATTCAGGCACTGTAGATGGGAAACTTGAATTTGATAAAGTATTATAGCAAACAAATTATTAGCAAACAAAATATATGTCTTATTTTGTTTGCTATAATGATTTATAACAGAACTATTCATTTTTACTTTTATTTTTATCATGTTTTACATTTTGTCAGAATCACGAGGGGAAGGTTCAACTGTTATTAAAATTTAACTAACCATCTAAACAGCCAAAGATTTGACCTGCAAAACTGTGAAAGTTTTTAGAAAAGAATTGTCTCAATTGTAAATTTGTATGATGTTACCTAGCCTATAATTTCATAATGACTACTTTATATTTGAACTATTTTGTTTCTGATGTGCGGCCTTATTTATTTGCAGGTATTTTGAGAAGCATATCTAACTATTTAGTCTAAAACTATTAGGACGAATGTGTAAAAATTTCCTGGCTATGGGTTTGTTTAATATCTCCATAAATGATTACTCTAGATTAATAGGAAGAAGTAAACATTTTATTATAAAAAATAACTGCACAGTGTTTAATAAATATTAGCAAGTAGCTCAAGAAGAACACAGATATTGAGCACAGATATTTCCTTTATGCCCAAGGAAAATCATTATTTGCCAAAAGTCATGTAGCGTAAACTCTAAATAATGATTCAGCCACTCATTTGAGTACTTGGAGATATTTCAATAATGTAATATGAGATTGGTTCTGGTAAACGATTGGTTAGGAAGAATTGATCACCAAAGCGTGTGAGGAGCATTATTTGCTCATATCTTGCATTTCACTTGAGTTATTTTTACAATTTAAACTCTGCCACAAACAGAACAGAAAGATCAACTGTTCTGTATAAGAAACAAATATTTATAAAAAATGGGCCCAAATTGCTAACTACCTAAATAAATCAATGCATAATATTATAAAAATGCAATGAAAAGGATTTAAGGAGTCCATGACAACGATGATGTACCCTTATTGCCATTAGTTGTATGAGGTAATAGACTGTGAATGTCCTGAGTAATCCTTTCATATGATGCTCTTTTGCTGTAATCTTCCTCACCTACTTGTCTGTCTGCCATTTCAATTTTCACATGCATCACAGGATAGGCACCACTTCTCTACATCTGCTTTAGTCTTGTCCCAGAATAAATGTTTGTGAAAGTTATGGAGTTTTTGTTACATTAACCTGCAGTAGGGCTACTATGAAGCTCTGACTGAATACTGGGGACTTGAGATCTGAGATGAGCTGCCATTTAAAATTTTATTAGTCATCAGCTTCATATTTGGGGTAGAGAATTCCATTCTTCATTTCAGTAGAATTTGCTGCTGCTTCTTGCTGGCTGGCAGCAGTCATATTCATAATGGGATCCACATCATTTGCTATGAGCAGCAGTTTTGATAATATCTCTCTAAATGATCACTGCAGATAAACAGGAAAATATTAAAATATATTATAAAAATTAATTATACACTGCACAATAAATAAAGCAAATAGCCGAAAGAAACTGTGAACATTAAGCAGTTCCTCCTTAGTACGCAAGAAATGTCGTCAGTTGCCAAAAATCACTAACAGAATAAATTCTAAATTGCATTTCAACTAAATGTTAATGAATTCAACTAATGATAAATATTACAATTGAATAACAACTATATAATACAATTTATTTGAGCCCTTGGAGCCATATTTATAGAATAATGTGAGCATTATTCTATAAATTGGTCTGGTGAAGCATGAGCTTTAAGAGGAATCGATTACCTGTGCTCGTGAGGAATGTATTTGCTCATATCTTAATTTTTGCAATTTAAATATTGCCACATTCAGAACTGAAAAATTAACATTTTCACTTATGAAGCAAGCACTTATAGAAAATGTGGCCACAAATGCAAAACAAATAAATAAATAAATGAACAATACTATTACAATAATGGTATAAAAAGGATTTAACTATTTATGTGAATTAGCCACCTTGAAGCATTAAAAATGGGATTGCACAGAAATAAAATTCTTTTCTATCTTTTCCAGCCAGCGGACGAGCAGTAAAGTCGCCGAACACTGGTAGTTCATTCCGAGGTTCAAATCGCGCGAACAGGTTGACTGCAATGGTGTTTTCGTGGTTTTCCCCATGTGTAACATGTATACGAGCCAGTTTCCTTTAGAAAGTCTTCCACAAAGTCATCCCTCCCTTTAGACAGATAGCCCTCTAGGCTTTGCCATAATCACATACACACACTTTCCTATCTTTTTTTATTTGAAAACAAATGTTAAAATTATTTGGAAAAAAGATGCCAGCGTGTTTCTTGAAGTGCATCTTAAAAAGTGTGTATTTTATGAAATTCAATTTAGGTCATTTTATCAATACTACAGTTTCATAGTGAAAGAAGTGCAACATAAACATTTCGAAATTATTTCATTTTTTCTAATGAAAAGCTCTTGAACAACTTTTCGCTTTTGGGGATGTAAATTCTTTTATTAAACAGTTCTAAATTTGGTGACTTGTCAATATTTTGGCGATTTTAAGACCAGTTTCTAAAGAAAATTTTTAATTCCAAGATCTGGAAACTTTTTGAAGATTTTTTAAAACATTGCAACATTGATTAATTTCGTTAAAATAATGGTAATATATTGAAATTATATTTAAAAAATAACATTAAAATAAAACATTTTTAATTTTCATTCTCATATTTATTATAAAGTTCCATTTTGGCCACTTATTATATAATATTTTAAATCTGAAAAATAAACAAGGTGTAATGCTATAAAGCACAATTTATAAAACAGTTCTTAGCAAAAACAAAATAAAATTAAAAATGTCTTTTAAAATTGTTTTCATGGCAAGAGTTTTTCTCATGTAATTGTCTCAGAATTTTAAGAATATGCATCTGTTTCGTTTTTTTCCCTCTGATTTTTTTTTTTTTTTTCAAAAATATTTCTGGCTTTTTGCTGTTGCAGAATTGGTAGGGTTAATTTTTCTTTAGGATTTTAAACACGCAGCTTAGAAAGTTTAGAAGGATTTGAAGGCAAGATTTATAGACACATGATTCTAGAAGATTCCTGAAAATGTGACAAAATGAAAAATGTCCCCATAGTATTAACACATAATGGATGTATTTTACAGAATGTTTGTGATGAATTTCTTACTTTTTGGAGAACATCTGGAAGAACAATGAAAACTTAATATAAAAATGAAACATACGCAGAAACTCGGGAAAACATTAGTTTGCATATTGAGGCAATTTTCTGATTGTTAGAAAATATGCCTTAAAGGGAAGGAAATTGATATAAATTAGCCAAAATGTCTAGGAAGGCTTCAAACTAAAAACTTGCGTAAATATTTTGTTGAGTGTTGTGTGTTTTGTAGCTTTTAACCCCTTAACTGCCGCGGAAAACGTACAAGATTCATTTCCCAGTGCCACGGTTTTTCACACAGGCGTGCGTAGTTATGCAATGTATTAGGGGGAAAATTAGTGCAAGTTTTACTTTCTAAAAACTGTTTACTGTCACAAAATAAAAAATAAATGCACAAAATTTAATGTTTTGAGTAAAAGTATGATAAAAAGATGTAAGTATAATAAAAATGGTGTTTTTATAATAAAAACGATCCCTAAAATGGAGTTTCGATCAATTCATTTTTAGACCAGTAAAGTGTAATATCAGGTTTCAGTGTTATACCATGTGAAATCAGTATGCCTAAAAAACATATATTTCTTCTGAACTGATTGAATGCCACGATTTTGTTCTTGATTTTTCGTTTGCAAGGTGTTGGTTCATATACTCGTCTACAAAACAGTTAGTTTCAGTAACAATATGAAGCACAAGCAGCTCATCAAAAATAATTCGAAAAAGATGAATGGTTTCATACATCCATTATATCT